AGGGCCCCGCGCCGCCGGGGGCGGAAGCCGCTGAAGCCCTGGGTCGGGGAGACGCGCGTGACGCCGAGCCCCGGCAGCTCTTAATAAAGCTGAGGCCCACGCCACCCCGCCTGCCTGCTCTCTGCTGGGCTGCAGGCCTGCGCCGGCCCCTCGCCGGTGCTCGCGGTGTCAAGGCAAGGGCGGGATGTCTCTTCCCGTGGCCCTTCGCGAGCGGCTGCGGAGAGGGCTAGGGCTCATTTTAACCCATTCCGGAGTTTGGGAGCTATTTTCCATTTTGACACCATTTCCAACTTAGAGAAAGTTGGTAGAATAGCGCAGGGGAAGTCCCCCCGACCGGACCGTCGTTGGGATGCACGCACAGCTCCGTTTCCCCCGCTTCTGCGTGCGCGATCTTCCGGCGCCAGAGTCAGGCTGGAGAACCTGACTAGTCACTGCCCTGACTACGAAACACTTCAGTATTTCCGGAACTGAGAAGGTGCTGCCACTGGCCAGGGTCCAAAACTGGAGCACTCTGGAGCAGACACTGCTCCCTAAATCGTACCTTATGTTAACTGCCATTTGTCCCAACAGTGTCCCTTGAAACTGCCACACTCCCCAAGGTCACGTCTTGCATTTACAGACCACTTATTAAAATGTCCAGCTGAGGACCAGCAGATGGCATAGTGGTTAGTCGCTGGATTCCCACGTGACCAACCATGGTTTGAGTCCTGGGCCCTGTGGCTTCCAACTCTTGCCCGCAGCCTGTGCGTTCCCTAGATCCCAGGAGGATGGAGGATAGGGATTGCAGCATGATCTCCCCCCTTTGGGAGTGATGTCTCGCTGTCTGTCTCTGTCTCTCTGGTGAGTGCAGATGCCCATAGCAAAAATCTCTCCAAAAAGAAGTACAGTTGAGGCTTATATTTAAAGACCTGGGCGCAGCCTGCAGTCGGGCTCCGTGCCTTTGGGGCAGGTGTGAGCGTGCAAGGTGTGCCCAGGAAGGCCTCCGTGACTAGGGCAGCCACTGCACTTGCACTCAGCTCCTTGCGTGGCTTTTGGGCCCCTCCCTGCTCAGTAGCTGCTGGTCTTCAGCTCTGGGTCCCCTTCTACCCAGGCTCTGACGCTGCCACTGCTCTGAGTCTGGCCGAGTGAGCACCCGGCTGCCCTGGACACCTGCAGCCGTGCTGCCTGGCCTGGGACAGTCGACACTGGGAGCATGAAGGGGTTCCCCCAGAGATGATGGCATGGTAGGACCAGCAGAGGGCATAATGGTTACGTCCCTGGACTCCCATGTAGTCGACTGCGGTTCAAGTCCTGGATTAAAACTCACACCAGGTGTGTGTGCTTGTGAGCCCAAGATCCCAAGGAGAATGGCGGAGAAGGGATTGCGGCATGGCCACCCTCCCTGGGGGTGATTTCTCGCTTTCTGTCTCTGTCTCTCCAGCAAGTGCATGAGCCTTATTCCTTAAAAAAAAAACTCAAAAAAAAAAAAAAAAAAAAAAAGATGATGTGGTGGTTAAGGTGCTGGACTCCCACATGGTTGAGTCAAGTCCCTGAGCTGGTGGTTTGCTTTCTCTGTCTCTCTCTCTCTCTAGTGAGCACGTGTGCCCAATAGCAAACTTCTAAACAATGAATAAAATACTTTTTAAAAATAAGTATTCACTTTATTTTTTTATTTATTAATTCATTTATTTTTTAATCTGACCAGAGAGAGACAGAGGGTGAGAGTGAAAGAGAGAGGAAGTGAGAAAGCAAGACCACCAGATTCAGGACTCGAACCCTGGTCAGCCATGTGGGAGTGTCCAGCGCCTTAACCACCATGCCACCTGCTGGTCCCTAAAATAGATATTTTGAAAAAGTACAAACGCACTGGCTAGAATAGTTGAGATCCAGAGTGCTGCCCACACCACATGCTGGAGGGTGTGGGCTCCAGGGACCCCCAGCCCCTCAGGCGAGGCACGGAGTAGACACCATCAGAGTGCATTCGCAGGCTGGGATTTACCCAGAAGAGCGGAACATTTCTTTCTTTTTTTTTTCGGAGAGGTTTTTGCTATAGGGCACGTGCGCTTGCCAGGCAGAGAGAGACAGAGAGACAGAAAACGAGAAATCACCCCTCAGGGAAGGTGGCCACGCCGCAATCCCTTCTCCTCCATTCTCCTCCCAGGATCTTGGACACGCATGCACTTGTGCCCGGCATGAGTTTTAAGCCACCGGGTCTGGGACGCAAACCGCGGTCGACTACGTGGGAGTCCAATGACATAGCCATTATGCCAACTGCTGGTCCCGAAACACTTACTTTCGCACATAAACCCACACAGGATGATTACAGCAGCTTTACTCACAAACGCCCAACCTGGGCCAGCAGGTGTCATGGAAAACACTGGACCACTACACAGCCCACCTTTGTTCAAGTCCCGGACCCAGTGACTTGAAAATCACACCAGGCACATATGCATGTGTACCCCAAAATGGAGAGGAGATTACAGGGTGGCCATGCTCTGGGGGGTGGGGGTGTGATTTCTCAGTCTCCCTCCCTCTCTGTCTGGCAAGTGTACCTGCACTATGGCAACCCCCACCCCTCGAAAAAAGGCCCAAACTTAAGCAATCAAGACACTCCTCAGTAAGTGGGTGGGTAAGGAAACGGCCATCCAGAGAGAAGTCGAGTCATGAGGAGACACGAGGAAATACATGTATATTACTTTTTTTTTTTCCAGTTTGCTAAGGGCCTGTGCGTTCACTCAAGAGAGAAAGTGAGAAAGCAGCCCTCGGGGCATGACATGGTACAATCCCTTCTCCTCCATTCTCTCGAGGTTTTGCTCACATGTGATTTCTCAAGCTGCCGGGTCTGAGGCTCGGTGAGACTGGAACCTGCAGTTACCCATGTGGGCTCCGGCCACCCGGACCTCCGTACAGCTAACCCAGGGGGCACTTTTTTTCCGAAGTTTTTTTTTTTAAGAATTATTCTATTTAACTTTATTTATTTTAATTTGACCAGAGAGGAACAGAGTGAGAGTGAGAGAGAGAGAGAGAGAGAGAGAGAGAGAGAG